TGAAATCTAAATATTTTGTCATTGCTATTTCACAAACTCATAATTAAATCCTTTAATTTATAAATGTGGGAGAAGGGAGATTGCAATCTTTTTACTTCCATCACGTCATCAGGTTACTGGTAAAATGACAACCAAAACATTTCTCTATCTCTTATACGGTCAAAAACGTGCAGAACAGTATCATGTGGTTTTAAAGTTAGTCAAGATGTTTTTAGGGGAAAAGTGCAAAATGTTTTTGTCTTTTCACTTTCAGAAGTATCAGCTGCGACATTGACAATTTTGTATTGTTTTGTTAGAATAACTTTACCGTAACTTAAGCTTTAACTTTACGGTTACTTGAGGTATGAGTAACCTTTTAATTCCAAAGGCAATTACTAATTACTAATTTGTCCTGTCCTTTCCTGATACTATTAAGTCATGGCATGTTGTGCGAAGATTGGCACCGGAGTGAAATGAATTCGTCGCAAAGCTTTGTGGCCTCACAAATTGTTTATCATTCTCATCAGCTAAGAATAGATTCGTTTTCAGTAACACATTTCAGTAACTGGATGAACGCCTTCAAAGGTAACACCAGTGATATGGTTAATTTCGAGCAAATTACAGATCCACTGCGTCCTTTTTCTTTTTTAATTTCTTATTATTTTTTTTTATTATTATTATAATAGTTACTATTTTTGTCTTCGATGCAAATCACACCCGCAAGAAAATGAAAAGTTTATGAGCACAATGGGTGAATTTCCACCCACAAGAAGCTTATTGTTTAAAGACAGAAGCTTTAGTTGTACTCTCGATCTGATCGATCTCGTGTTGCAAATCCAACCGGTCCAAAAGAGATGAATACTGAAGCCTGACGTTTCCCGTTAAACAGAGCAAGATGTTTCATTTTTGGATGCTCAAATCCATCATCGGTTAGAAAGTGTGACGTGCCAAACCGAAATACAGTCACTTAGTTTTTTTTTTTTAGTATTTTTGGCTTCGATCACGCAAATCACACCCGCTAGAAAAATGAAAAGTTCACCGTGACCGTGACCGTGACCGTGACCGTGTCTTCGGAAAACAAGGGGTCGATTGTCGCGCAAAGATAGCTTACCCTCTTAAGAGAGAAACAAGTTTCACCGAATGTGATCCGTTGATGTGTTCCAGTTGTACTTATCCACGCGTCTTCTTCACTTATTATTTTTTGTTTTAATTCGATATTATGAATTCTAACACTTTCAGCTCGTTACAAAAAGTTTCCAGCCCGTTTTGGTAACTTCATATATGGGTTCCTGTTTGTAGTGACTTATCGTGAATCCAGAGTCATTCTGTTAACTTTTGTTATTAAAATAACGTTTCCCTTATAACAGGAGAGGATGGCAATGGAAATCTAACGACAGAAGCCATGATAGCTTTCATGAACATCGCCTTTCTAGTTGCCCTGTTCCTGCTCAATACAGATCGCATTCAGAAAGCCATTGAGATATGCAGCGAATGTTTGATTTTGCTAAATAACACCGATCAAAACAGCAAAGACCAATTTAAAACACTACTGCTACAATTTTACAGCGCCTTCAATTTACTTCTTTTCAAGGCTTATCGTCGTATCTCTGACTACAAAAGTGCGGAAAGATACGGCAGGAAACTGCTTGTCTTATACAGCGAGTCTGGTGACTTAGAAAGAGAAGGAGATATAAGCTTAGCTCTTGCAGAGATTGTTGAGAGTCAAAACAGGTTTACAGATGCCAGACAACTTTACGTAAAAGCAGTTAATATCAAGAGATTAACTGGTGAACAAATTGGTGAAGCAAGCGCCTGCGCAAGATTCGGAATTATGCTTCATAAACTTGGCGAGAACCTAAAAGCGAAGGAGCATGTTGAGAGAGCCCTTGCCATAGCAACCGAAATTGGCGACAAAGAAGGAGAAGCATCCTGTTGCGAAAACCTAGGAACGTTGCTTCAGTTACTCGGGGAATGCGACAATGCTAAACAGTATTTCAAAAAAGCGCTTCTCATCAGAACTGAAATTGGCGACAGAAAAGGAGAGGCAACTGACTATGGAAACCTAGGAACTGTGTTTCACTCGCTCGGGCAATGCGACAAGGCTATAGAGTATCTCCAAAAAGCGCTCGTCATCAGAACTGAA